TATCTAGTTATCTTTCTATCTTTCTATCTATCTATCTATCTATCTATCTATCTACCGTGTTTCCCCGAAAATAAACCCTACCCCGAAAATAAGCCCTAGTCGGATTTTCGGGGTGGGCTGCAATATAAGCCCTACCCCGAAAATAAGACCTAGGCATTTTACCTTTGCGGCGAGACTTCCGTCTTCTACTGTAGGAGGAGCGTTGCGGGCCGCGGCATCGCGCAACGTGATGACGACATTTCGCAGCGCCGTCAGTCTGCCTTCACGGATCTTCAGCGGAAGGATCCATTTCCGGGCGGTGAGGCTCCCAGTGGTCGGACTCGGCAAGGAATCTTTGAAATGTGAGTACCGCTAGATATTTTATGTCTGGGATTAATTGAATTAATTAAAGGGGGTGTGGGGGGTGAATTAATTAAAGGGGGGGTGAATTAATTAAAGGGTGGGCTGGATTAATTAGAGGGGGTGAATTAATTAAAGGGGTGGTGAATTAATTAAAGGGTGGGCTGGATTAATTAGAGGGTGGTGAATTAATTAAAGGGGGTGAATTAATTAAATGGTGGACTGGATTAATTAGAGGGGGTGAATTAAGTAAAGGGGTGGTGAATTAATTAAAGGGTGGGCTGGATTAATTAGAGGGGGTGAATTAATTAAAGGGTGGACTGGATTAATTAGAGGGGGTGAATTAATTAAAGGGGTGGTGAATTAATTGAAGGGTGGGCTGGATTAGTTAGAGGGGGTGAATTAATTAAAGGGGTGGTGAATTAATTAAAGGGTGGGCTGGATTAATTAGAGGGGGTGAATTAATTAAAGGGTGGGCTGGATTAATTAGAGGGGGTGAATTAATTAAAGGGGTGGTGAATTAATTAAAGGGTGGGCTGGATTAATTAGAGGGGGTGAATTAATTAAAGGGGTGGTGAATTAATTAAAGGGTGGACTGGATTAATTAGAGGGGGGTGAATTAAAGGGGTGGTGAATTAATTAAAGGGTGGGCTGGATTAATTAGAGGGGGGTGAATTAATTAAAGGGGGGTGAATTAATTAAAGGGTGGACTGGATTAATTAGAGGGGGTGAATTAATTAAAGGGTGGGCTGGATTAATTAGAGGGGGTGGATTAATTAGAGGGGGTGGATTTATTAAAGGGGGGGGTGGATTAATTAAAGGGGGGGGTTCAATGTACATACCGGTACCGTAAATAAATAAGCCCTACCCTGAAAATAAGCCCTAGTGTGTTTTTTGTGACTAAAATTAATATAAGACCCGGTCTTATTTTCGGAGAAACACGGTATCTATCTAGTTATCTATCTATTTAGTTATTTATCTGTCTTTGGATAAGTGGATGGGTGGATGGATAGATAGATAGATAGATAGACAGATAGATATATAGATAGATAGATAGATAGATAGATAGATAGATAGATAGATATTAGATTTAGAATATTTATCTATGGTTGCCTATATTCTATTGAGAGCTGTTATCTACCTAATGCCCCAGGGATAGTTGAGATTCATCAATAATTTTCTATAACTATAAAATATGTTATAATTTAAAATATCTACATGCACATGTGTAAAAGCTTTTATTAACTCAAATTCACATACATGCAAAAATAAAGTATCTAAAAGATAAAGTCAGGCAAAAAAAGATGACTTAAAAAAAAAAAAAACTCCAACTCGGCCACATTTGACTATTTCACCATAAATTTTGCAATTTGTTTTTTTCTTCACAACAATTCAGTACTGAGTGAATAAAACCTTTAAACTCAGGTATGAAAAATAAGCAGAAAGCCAACACACCGCCTCATTAATCTCAACTTCCAGGAATGGTCTTTATGCTAAATTATTTACAGGAAACCATCTAGTTTTGCATCATGCAAGTCCTCATTATATATCATTGCTTTATGATGATTAAGTAAACTTAATTTTTTTTATTAATTCAGCAAAATAAAAATAAAAAATATTATAGGCACATTAAAAAAGTCACAGCACATTTTTAGTACAAGCAGCAATCCTCTAGTAAACAAAATGAAAATACTGACTAAATAACTCTAATAACAATACATATTCAGTATTATCATAAATGGCATTTACAAGTATTTAGAAACTCCAAATACAAGACAAATATATTTATTTTCAGAATCACTGAAAGCGAGGCACTTATGTAAGTTGCACTGCTACCTTTTATCATTTAGATTTACTTTATGATAAAGTGGAAAATGTTTGCTATTTTTGTGATATACCTCAATTAAATACTCTGTTAAGTAAATGCTATAAAAATGAATCGAATAAGATATATGTTTTTTTTTGGGGGGGGGGGAATCTCTGAAATGTATTGACTCTTTTTGAAACAAAACAGGAAAAACTTTATACAATTTTCATTAAACAAAATATATTTACAAAATTTGTATCGAAATAATTTTGTTTTACTTTGTTTTGTTTTTTTGTAAAAATATTAACAGTGGTAAATATTACAAATGTAATATGTATTTTTTTTTACGTGACTTGGCGTGTTTGTTTGAAGGTACTCTGTAAGAGATGCATCTAAAAAATGAATTATTCTCCTTTGGTATAGATATCTCATATAGAGACTACATCAGTAAGCATTTGTTTGTTCTTTCAATAATTCGTAATTCTAAAAACAGTTGCTATATTACTTTCATATTTTCCATTTCTGGAATGACTGACTTTACAAATCCTTCCAGTCCAAAATACAGCAAATGCATATAATATTTACATGCATTTAGGCACTGTCAAGATTATTAATTGTAGTTTAGTAATCATATATTTTTATTATTAAAATATTTTACCAGGAAGGATACTTTGAGATTTTGCTTGTTTTCAAGTATGTCCTGGGTCCACAAAACATTGCATTGATACATTAGGGTACAATAAAATACAAAACCAATATTAATACACAATAAATACAAAATTTAACATAGAACAGGTAGGAAATATATAATCAACCATGGCAGGTGCATTCTGTTTTGAGATATGTAGCGAGGGATCTTAGGACTGGGGAAGTTGTGCGGGAGGTCGTTCCATAATTGAGGTGCTCTATAGGAAGAAGAGGATCGGGCTGCTTTCTTTTTGTATTGAGGTAGACTAAATAAAGTGCTGGTACTGGATCGGAGGTTATAGGAGGTGGGAACAGCTGGAGAGAGCATTCTGCTCAGGTAGGATGGGAGCTTCCCAGAAAAGCTCTTAAACACAAGGCTGGAAAGATGAAGGGTGCGTCTGGAATCCAGCAACAGCCAGTTTAGTTCTTTTAGCATGTCACAATGGTGGGTCATGTAATTACATTGCAGTACAAAGCGGCAGAACGAGTTATGCAATGTATTAGGTTTATTAAGATGGGTTTGCGGTGCAGGTGCATATACTACATCCCCATAATCAATGATTGGCATCAGCATTTGCTGTACAATCTTTTCCTTTACATCATTTCCTTTACTTTAGGGCTTAGGCAGGATTTGTTTCCTAGTTTTGGATAAAGTTTAGATGCAAGTTTTTCTATGTGGAGGCCAAAAGATAGACTGTGGTCTAACAACATACCCCAGTATTTGAAAGAGTGGACTGTGGTCAATGTGCTTTTTTGTTTTGATGGATAGGTGGGAATTGTGTAATTTGTGTAATTTAGATACTGTTCCAAAGATCACTGTGACAGTTGTGTCAGTGTTTAGGTTCATGCTGCTAAGCTCCAGGTGGAAATAATGTTTTTTTTAAATTAGATTTTTAGTGTATTTTATCTGTATTTTAGTGTAATAATCTTTACAATATCAAGCAACAAGCTAAGGTTTTAGACAGAGCAATTTAAAGTAAGATGTGCCAATAACATGTCATATGGCATATGTCATTTCTGTTCTAAGTGGCATGAATTCCCACTGACTGAACTTTTTTTGAACATCTGTGTCCATATTTTATTTTAATAATAAAGATTTTTTTTTAATGATAGTCAGTCTGCTTTATAAATACATCAAGTTGTCTACCGACAAAGTGATTCAGAAAACCTTAATGGGTTAGTTCTTGAGGTCAAGCTTTTCAGGATGGTCACATTTTATATCATTGCTTGATGAACCTTGCATTAAAAGAGCCCAATTAGTTCAGCAGGCAGATCATATACTAAATATTAAATAATAAAATGCATTTGAAAAAAATTTGCTGGGAGCCAACCAAAGCACCCATTTGGAGACCTGCTACTAATAGGCTACTAACCAGGAGGTAATAAACCTATTCCCTTTAAGTTATGTATGTTATCCAGAGATATCACTGTGGCATTCAGAAATACTTTCCAGTTGTCTCATTATATGTTCACTTTGCTACAGACATTGTGAGACAAGATGTGAGATCATATACTGGTGCCCTTCTCTGATTAATGTGCAGCATGATAAGGGGAAGCAGGTAGGAATCATTTGCTACCTTGTGCACAGATTTTTACTCCTCAGCTACTGTCATCCAGTTACGAGCAATACCAGGCTCCAGTCTCCAGCTCACAACAGACATTAGGGACCAGTATGGAAAGAAGGAGGAGGTTAATTGAATTTTAAAGTGTGTATACATATATATATATATATATATATATATATTTCTGAATGTTTAATTGTGTGTGTGTGTGTGTGTGTTACAAAAACTGTCTATTGCTAAGGGTACCTGCAGAAATGCAGTATGAAGTCTGAAAAACAATACCTGTCTGTGTTCATTTGCATGTCAAGCCGGGAACTCTGGGATAGTTGTGGAAACATGATTTGTTGAGTGTCTGTGCCCAGAAATGGAATCCAGTGGACCTTGTGGAGTCAATTGGATGACTTGGACTTTGCCGACGATCTCGCACTTCTCTCCCACAGCCAGCAACAGATGCAAGAGAAGATCAGTGTGTTGGCAGCTACATCAACACAGGTTGGACTCATCATCCACAAGGAGAAGACCAAGATCATAAAACCAACTTCAGCAACATCAACCCAATCACCCTGAATGGAAGCCCCCTGGAGAAAGTATAGTTCTTCACCTACATGGGCAGCATCATCGACCAGCAAGGTGGAACAGATGCAGATGTCAAGGCAAGGATCGGCAAAGCAAGAGTCGCCTTCATCCAGCTCAAGAACATCTGGGCTTCCATAGAGCTAACCTTGACCACCAAGATCCGACTGTTCAACTCCAATGTGAAGTCAGTACTGCTGTACGGGGCTGAAACCTGGAGGAAAACCAAAACTACCAATAGAAGAATCCAGACATTCATCAACAGCTATCTCAGAAGGATTCTCAACATTTGCTGGCCAGACACCATCCGTAACACCAACCTATGGGAAAGGACCTGCCAACTTTCAGCAGTGGCAGAAATCTGGAAGAGAAGATGGGGCTGGATAGGGCATACCCTAAGCAAACTGCCAACCAACATCACTAGGCAGGCTCTCCAGGTGGAATCCCCAAAGAAAGAGAAAGCTAGGCCTTCCAAGAAACACCTGGTGACGCGACCTCGAGGCAGACATCACAAGGATGGGCTACACCTGGAGTAAACTAGAATGATGGCCTGGGATACCCCAGGAGGGTTGGAGGGCATAAGTAAGTAAATGTGCCTAAGAGGGATCTTCCAAAGTCTAACTTGAGATATGTACGTGATGCACAACAGTTATTTTTCCATATAAATATGCACAAACACACATTACATTGCGTATACTCTATTAGAGTGTAGTAAGTGTATCTGATTTGATTGCATATACATGGCTGTTCTCAGGACTACACATAGCATACATATACATCTCCATCTGTGTGATGTCCACTAAGTGGACACAATCACTACTTCCCACGCCAAATGGGCATTGAGGTAAACCTTGATAAATCAGTGTAGATCTATACTATGCCCCCTCCCTTTAGCCTGGGGGAGCACAATTCCTATTTCCATCTATAGAACCTTCACCTTAATAATTGGTATGGTCTTTTACTTGATGGATGTACAAGTACACAATTTAGTAAACCAACCAGCCAGAGACTTATAGAAAAAAAAATCACTTTTGTTTCATCACAGAAAAGCAATGTCGTTGACTGTTTACTTCAGAATATGTTTATTACTCACATGTTCACTTCAGAATATGTTTATTACTCACTTTTAGCTTTCTGCATTGTGATATGAGGCAAGTATAACGTGTTAAGCACTATACTATAATAACTATAGAATTACATTTGGAAAAAAAACACTTTCATCAGTCTCTGACCCTTGTAAGGAGACATCTCAGAAACAGTGCGAAGGCCAGTGATGCTACAGGAAACAACTTATTGTAAGCTATTGTCTCAGACCAGGAGGAATATGAAATACCTGTTGCAACCTGTGTGAACCCACTAAAGTAACACAGGGATCCAAGTTAAAGGACCACTATAGTGCCAGGAAAACATACTCGTTTTCCTGGCACTATAGTGCCCTTGAGGGTGCCCCCACCCTCAGGGACCCCCTCCCGCCCGGCTCTGGAAGGGGGAAAGGGGTTAAAACTTACCTTTTTCCAGCGCTGGGTGGGGAGCTCTCCTCCTCCGATCCTCCTCTTCTCCTCCTCGTCGGCTGAATGCGCACGCGCGGCAAGAGCTGCGCGCGCATTCAGCTGGTCACATAGGAAAGCATTATCAATGCTTTCCTATGGACGCTTGCGTGCTCTCACTGTGATTTTCACAGTGAGAATCACGCAAGCGCCTCTAGCGGCTGTCAATGAGACAGCCGCTAGAGGAAATAGGGGAAGGCTTAACCCATTCATAAACATAGCAGTTTCTCTGAAACTGCTATGTTAATGAAAAAATGGGTTAACCCTAGAAGGACCAGGCACCCAGACCACTTCATTAAGCTGAAGTGGTCTGGGTGCCTAGAGTGGTCCTTTAAGGTATATCCCAGGGGTAACGAACCACCAGTCTCTGGAGAGTAAAAGCTGTGTGACTGCTGTCTATATACACAGATATTAATAAGTAGATCGCTAAAGAATGATTATGTATTTTACTAAGTTAAAAGGAGGTAAAGTTGGGAGATGTGGCTTTAAAAAGTAATAGTTAACATCTATTTGGGCTAAATAATGGAGTTTTGTATTATTTCATGCAAATAAACTTTATGTATTACCTCTATCAGACTGACCAGTTCCACTCAGTTTCTACTGCTGATTTGGAAGTTCCCTGGGTGCCAGATTACTGCTGAGCCAGGAGGAGACCTGTTACCCACAGCTAATTTAACTTGCATAGATTTTTTAATATAATTTCTTTATCCGCAGACGAAGACGATCAGTAGCAAATGTGATTTTCTGAGGACAAAAGATTAGAGTTGATGGTACCTTATAGAAAAGGAGAACATTAGCTCCAATATCTGGTTTTTGTAAATAGTACCTATGTCTGTCTCTGTGTTAACATATGAGAATAATCCTCATATTTCACAAATATGTACCTGTGTGACTTCTGATGTTATTTTGAAGCAGCACGTAAACAAATTGAACATGTGAGATACATTTTACAGTGATAAAAGACAGTTAAAGAGTTTTTTTTTTTTGAGTACAAAGCAAATATTCACAATTAAAATATATACTTTAGTAGCGTTTACAATATTATATTGTTTTCATGTTGGTTTATCTCTACCCAGAGGATCATACATTAGCTTATTTTATTGCATTCAAGTGGGTAACATTTTCTTTCCCAACAATACTCACTTTGTAGTTTTTAAATATATACAGATGAGGCTGGTGCCTAAATTGAATTGTGGATTAGAAATTGAGAAAATAAAAAACTATATGCGTGTTCACTTTATTAGTTTGGTTATAGCAATTCCATATACTGGTTTAAAATAAGTGAGTTACTTGGAGCACAGTTGTTGTATGAGCCAAAGGATAACACACATGGGCCCAGGGGCGCTTTATCCTAGATGGTCTTTTACCCTGAAGAAGCATTCCAGTTTCCCCCTGGACAACTAGGGAAGAGAGAGCATGTCTGCTGCCCATGATCATGGGCTTGTTTTAAAAGGAAACAAATGTTGCAAATTGAGGGGTTTTATGGATAGTGAGAGAGGGAGGGGACTTACCAGTCGGCAGGATCAGTTGAGGGACCCTGACTGTTTTCTAGCTGACTGTACCCTGTGGAAAAAACAATAGATTACTTTAGTTCCCTACAGTGCCCTGGAGACTCACTTGCTGAGACTCTTGCAGGCCTATCAGGAGTCATACGGGCAAAGTGCCCTGGATTAGCTGGTGTCAGGAGTGAGGGCTCTAGCTGGATGGACCCGGCGGACAGAGAACCAGTTGGACGAGGCCTCCATCGCATTTATCCCCCAGCCAGTGTGGCACAGTGACTGGAGGCGGAGGATGAGTTGGGATGACGGTGGCGGCCAGGGCGCGAACATGGGCCGTCTATAGGTGACAGGGAAACAGTGGAGTCGGGATGGATGCGCAGGAGTGGAGCGGGCCCAAGATGGCAATGGCGGAGGTCCAGCTGGACGATTGCACATCCCGCACGCTTCTTTTCCAGCAGGAAGTGAGGTCATCGCACACGCCCCATATCGTGAGTATGTCAGACGTCAAAGTCAATGCTCAAGGCGAGTACGCTGTCGCGAAGAAGAGGACGATCATCATAGGCCTTGCATTCTACAATGGATGCAGCGGCGGTTGGAAGGACGAATCTCAGGAATGGATTGCAGTAGAGCCTGGCAACCGGCTGCGAGTCTGCAGTCGCCACTCCGGGGTCGGACAGCTCCAGTTCTGGATTAGAGGAAGAGTCTCCAGTGGTTTCTGTGCTGGAATATCGTGTAGCCAACCATGAGCATTGCGCCAGCGCCTGGGATGCGCCGGCTGGGACCAGGGGAGGGGGAGAGTGTGCCCAGGGTTTCATAGTCAAGGGAAGTGCTTAGTCTGCTCAGGGCAGTGCTTGCCCTGGGGGGTTGGTCCGTTCTCTTCCCAGGCCCCTTCCGTTCTCTCAGTCCATTCACATAGCCAAGTCAGGTGTGCAGAGGGTGAAATCCCAGCGGGGGTCACGTCCATGCTTGCCGGGCTGTGAATTGTCCCCATTGGGCATGCATGTTTTGCTGGACATCAGGGACAAAATTCTTAAAGATGAGTACGTGGATTTGCTGTCCCTGGTTCCCCCGGATAGGGAATCAGTGGATAGGCACGCGGCGAGGTGGCATGTCGGATGGGGAAAAAGGTAAGCAGTAGCAGCGTACCTTTGGCAACTGGCTTCAGGGGTTCTCCATTTTTGCTAGCAATTTGTTGCAGCATTTTCCGGAGAAGGCACCGGCGTTGTTTGGGTACCTAGACGTAATTTGGGGCGTATAAGATATATGGGGGTTAATGATAGTTTAAGTACGACCAGCAGTTTTGCCAGAAACTGGCAATGAATCCAGGCATGGATTTTGGGGTCCAGGGCGGTAACCTATGGCTGCTGCTAATGACCCACTGATGTCCATCCCCCTTTCCAGGAGCAGCCAGCGCACGAGTGCCTGCATTGTGGGGGAGCCCACCCAGCGTTACGGTGCTGTAAAACAGGCAAGCAGGGAGGTAGGTTTTCTAGAGAGGATCTACCTAGAGCGGAGGATGCCTGTGAGCGTGGTAAGGATGCGCCCATGACTCAACCAGTATCCTTAGCATAGGGAAGTGCAGATTTTGTTGCATAGGTTTTCCGTGGGTTTTTGGATACCTTTTGTCCATTCGTGTTCCCCGTTGTTTGTGGGAAATTTGCATTCTATGGTGGATAAGGAAACTATTCTTGAAGAGAAGCTTCTGAAAGTAGGATGTTCTTTTAGGTAGGATGGCTGGGCCATTCGATTTTTTGCCCTTCTCCAATTTACGGGTCTTTCCCCTAGGGTTGGTGCCCAAGAATCATCCAGCGGCTTTTCGTCTCATTCATCACTAGTGATGTACCGAACGGTTCGCCGGCGAACGGTTCCTGGCGAACATAGCATGTTCGCGTTCGCCACGGCGTGCGAACATATGCGCGGTTCGACCCGCCCCCTATTCGTCATCATTGAGTAAACTTTGACCCTGTACCTCACAGTCAGCAGACACATTCCAGCCAATTAGCAGCACAGCCTCCCTAGCAGACCCTCCCACCTACTGGACAGCATCCATTTTAGATTCATTCTCAAGCTGCATGCTTAGTAAGAGGAGGGAAAGTGTAGCTGCTGTTCATAAGATAGGGAAAAGCATAGCTAGGTTAGGGATAAGGGTATGCTTTTTTTGGATTTTTTCTATGTAATGTAAATGCACTTAGTTGTCTGCCACTGCTGCCAGCTTCTGTGTCAGGCTCACAGTGCCCATTTCATTTCAGTGAGTTACCAAATTACATCTGGTGTCTGTAGCTGAATTTAAAACAAAACTTTTTTTTTTTCACTGTTATAGATTGAATAGCAATCAGTTGTCTGCCACTGCTGCCAGCTTCTGTGTCAGGCTCACAGTGCATACTGTGCCCATTTCCCCAGTCAGTGCCACCAATTACATCTGGTGTCACAATAGCTTGGATTTAAAAACAAAAAACTTTTTCACTGTTATAGATTGAATAGCAGTCAGTTGTCTGCCACTGCTGCCAGCTTCTGTGTCAGGCTCACAGAGCATACTGTGCCCATTTCCCCAGTCAGTACCACCAATTACATCTGGTGTCACAATAGCTTGGATTTAAAAACAAAAAACTTTTTTTACTGTTATAGATTGAATAGCAGTCAGTGTCCTTA